CCAAATGTGACGTTCTAACCTTTTGGGAATCTGGTTAGATTTGATATCAGCCTCGTCGTTCCCAACTCTCTTCCAACGCCTGGTTACCAAGGTAACTGCATTGATCTCCAGTCCGTCTACCCACGTTGTGAATTGATCTTAGACAGACGAGATCAAACAGTGGTTGGGGCCGTAATGCAAATTGAGTTCAACGGGGGTGATACTACACAAATATGCATAAAAGAAAATAAAATGAAAACTCAAAAGATCAAAGTATCAAAGAAAAAAGGTAACAAAGTTTATGTCTAGTTGTTCGATACATAGGACTGCATCTATCTCCCGACCCGTTCTGTGGATTGTGACACGTCGTTTTCGCTAGGCAAGTATTAACGCTTCAAGTTGTCTGCTCTCTAAGAAATTGGTGTTTCGGTGTGTCTTTGGACGAAAGTCGAAAAAACTTATTTCGGTGGTCTGGTTTTTAAGTCGCTCTTCAAAATAATTGTTCTTGGGTTGAAGAGGTCTGAATTTTGCGTGAATCTTGGTCAGCTATCTCGAGGCGGTTTCAACTGGAGACTGACTCTGGGAACTCAACTCTGGAAACTCGAGCCCAAACTCTGGATACTCATCTCTGCCGCCAGAGCCCAACTGATTTCTGCCTGTTGGGGCCCCGCTTTTATTGACGCCGACCAAAACCAGGGGTGGTTCTGTTGGCGTCGAGGGTTCCTCGATAATTCTAAATACATATCCACCTCTTTTATTTCTGGTTAGAGATTTTCCTCTTTTCCATTTTGGGAACCCTCCTCCTCCCACTTTCTCACCATACATCTGAGGGGCGTGAACTGCCCTACCCACTTCTTCGTAGCAGCTTCTCATACTTATACTCTGGATGGGGCGTCGACAGCCTTCTTCGTGCGTCACGTGATCACTCTCGGCCAATGAGGTCTTGGTCGGGTATCTTTCCTCCTCCTTCGTGCGTCACGTGATCACCACTTGACCAATGATGTCTTAGTTGGGCGTGAACAATCCTTGGCTTTGTTTCGGGAAAAAAATATCTTGCTTAACTAAAAAAAATTATCTCTTCTCTTTCGCTTAAATCGCCGTTATCATTTCTCTAGTCACGGACAATATGACAACTTCTTGTTTTACACGTGGTGTTTGTCAGGTATCTTATCGCTAATTCATCAAGATGGGTGGTATTCTTAACATGGTTTCAAAAAAGAAATATCCCCAAAGTTTTCAGTCAGTCTGTCGCCTCCAAGGAAGAAAGAAAAACACTTCTGGTTCCCCATAAGTTGTTTCGTCGAAAAGAATTCGGTCAGCGCACTGCTTGTGTGGGATTTAATTTTTCATATCTGTCCAAAGTCCTTTTTAGTGGCCTGTTTCTCGTCACTTATCGAAATAGCATTTTTACTTGAATTTTTCCCTGGCCAGTGGTCTAGATAATACAACCGTTATCAAAACATATCTGGTTCCTTCTTTCTTTTCCCTTTCTTTTTTTACTCAGAAATTCCCTGTCATTGTAATGACACCCTTTTTCATTTGTTACTTATCAATATTTTCATTGTCTCTTAGCCGTGTGTGTGTCTGCTTATCACTTATGAATCGTCTCGCATTTCTTTCTGTCTTCTTTTCCTTCTCTTCCTTTCTCTGCCTCGTAAATGGTGCCACATAAGAGAAAAGGTTGGCAAAGATGGTAGGACTAAGCCAACAAGGTGCGTGGACAAATTGGGAATCCATGATTTATAAGAAAACTCAAATGGTCGGATATATGACGTAATGATATCAATGATATCAATATAAAGTTTCTAATTCAGACTGTATACGACACCCTTCCCAGTCCTACCAACATCCAACCATGGTATGAAACAAAATCGTCCTTATGTCACTTGTGTTCGCATCAAGGAACTCTAAAGCATATTCTAAGTAGCTGTAAGACAGCACTAACGGAAAGCCGGTATAGATGGAGGCATGATGAAATCTTAAAGGATATAGCAAAGATAGTTAGTATGGCCATCAGTACTAATACTTTAAACCTAGATAAAAAAACTATAGAGTTTCATAGAGCTGGTGAGAACCCTCCCCCGCAAAAAAGGACAACATAGCAAATACTCTGTCATTGGCAACAGACTGGAAATTAAGGGTCGACTTAGGAACAAGACTAAAATTCCCTGACCACATTGTGCAAACATCATTACGTCCAGATATAGTATTCTTCTCAAACAATATTAAGAAAGTAATAATGTGGCAACTGACAGTTCCTTGGGAAGAGCATGCAGAAGAAGCCCACGAACGGAAGATGTTAAAATATGATGAATTAATAACGAGTTGTAAAAACAATGGATGGAAATCAAGCTGTTTGCCAATCGAGGTGAGTGTAAGGAGTTTTGCTGCAAGGTCCCTATGCAAAGCCCTAACTGATATTGGCTTAATAGGTGCTAACAAAAGAAAGGCGATTCGGACCATAACTAATGCAGTAGAAAGGACAGCAAAATGGTTATGGATTAAGCGTGATGGCTCTTGGGCTTCAATGTAACAAAATAGTTAAAATTATCAAGTCGGGTAAATCTGTAAATAATAATTATTAATATAATTGTAACATTGCAATAATATAAACATCATTTTTTATGTCTTAATACACGACTTGAATTGTACAGGTACTGTCAACGAATATATCATGTCAATTTGTATTTTCATGTTAAACCCAATTTATACGCGGTAATTTTAAGTTACTATTTACCTTTTAGCGGTTTTGGCGCGACGCATCTCGTAAGGCTTTTTGTCTTCTTTTCTCATATATTTTTAAATTTTTTTATTTTTACACGAATATTTCGCATTTTGTATATTTTAATCTGAATCATAACACGTACATAGTATATTTATAAAGTTTTTCTCTCTCGATCATGGCTATATATCGTTTGTATATCATTTTTATTTTATTTTATTAGTTTAATTGTCATCGGTTTTACATCGGTTTTAAGCTATACATATATATACATATAATATGAAGCTTCGTTATTACTTAATATTTTATTTTAAAGGACATAAAAATCTATTGTAAAGCAGATGGCACTTCTTTCATAGTTTAATTAATTTCAAGAGTATTTTGTAGTTTATTGTATTTAAATGACCTCAAAATTGGAAATAGTTTTAAATCAATGTTAAGGAATATTATGGTGCTTTATGTAACTTTTTCTATTATTTTTATTTTATTTTAATTTATTTTTTGTGTGTACAGTAAAAAATATACGCCATGTTTATGGACACTTATTTTCATTTTGTGAATACATCCATTTAAAGTTAACTGACCTGTAATAATGTTAAGAATCAGGTTAAATGAGAAAAAAAAATGTGAAGTAGGGTTGAGTTTAAGTATCCCACCCTCTAAAAGTAAAAAAAAAAAGCACAAATAAAATAAAAACGGCAAATATTTAGAGTAAGACACTAAACAATACTTAGGGAAAAGGGTTAAATTTTGGAACATTAAGATTACCTTCTCGGTTATCCATTGAAACTGTTATCCACCAAAAAAAAAAAAAAAAAAAAAAAAAAAAAAAAAGCCAGTCCCCATTGTGGACCATTTAAAAGATAGTTCGCGCAGCGGATTGTCTGTTACAAGCATCCAATCGTATGAGCGGAAAACGTGGTCTCTCTTCGTCTAATTCATTAAAAGGCCAGAGTAGCTGTTAGCGTTTGATTGAGAGGAGGAATCAGGGATTGATCTCCCCTGATTGGGGAGATTAGGTGATGGGGAGTATGATGTTGCAAGACCCGAAATTTCCAAATGAACCAAATCAAATAACATCACTGACGAGCCCCTCGGGTGCCTATTGGCAGGAGATATCCCGAGACATGGGCAGTGAGAGCAGGTATCCGCGACGTGTCTCATGTCTCGGGATATCTCGCCTCACTGCCCATGTCTCGGGATATCTCATCTCGCTGCGCATGCCTCGGGATATATCATCTAATTGCCCATGTCTTGGGATATCTCATCCCGTTGCGCATATCACGGGATATATCATCCCACTGCGCATGCCTCGGGATAACACATCCCGCGGGACACGTCGCGGGATATCTCCTCCCACTGCTCATGGCTCGGGATATCTCCTCCCACAGCCCATATCTCGGGATATCTCACCCGGCTGCCCATGTAACGAGATATCTCAAAACACTGCGCATGTCTCGTTATATCTCATACCGCTGCCCATGTTTCGGGATATCTCACCCCACTGCCCATGTCTGGGGATATCTCACCACACTGCCATTGTCTGAGGATATCTCAACCCAATGCCCATGTCTCGCGATATCTCATCCCGCGGCACACTTCTCAGAATATATCATCTAACTGCCCATGTCTCGGGATATCGTACCCCGCTGCCCATGTCTCGGGATATATCATCACCTTGCGCGTGCTTCGGGATATCTCATCTCGAGTGACACGTCGCGGGATATCACCTCCCACTGCCCATGTCTCGGGATATCTCACCCGACTGCCCATGTCTGGGGATATCTCACCACACTGCCCATGTCTGAGGATATCTCAACCCAATGCCCATGTCTCGCGATATCTCATCCCGCGGCACACTTCTCAGAATATATCATCTAACTGCCCATGTCTCGGGATATCGTACCCCGCTGCCCATGTCTCGGGATATATCATCGCCTTGCGCATGCCTCGGGATATCTCATCTCGCGTGACACGTCGCCGGATATCACCTCCCACTGCCCATGTCTCGGGATATCTCACCCCGCTGCCCATGTCTCGAGATATCTCACCGGACTGCCCATGTCTCTGGATATCTCATCCCGCTGCGCATGTCCCGCGATATCACATACCGCAGCACACTTCACGGAATATATCATTTAACTGCACATGTCTTGGGATATCCCGAGATATGAGCAGTGGGTTGAGATATCCCGATACATGTGCAGCGGCGTGAGATATCTAATATCCGGCGTGAAACATGGGCGCAGTGGGCAGTGGAAGGTAGATATCGAGGCATGCCATATTCCGGACGCGAGCGATGAGGCGTGATATCCCGAAACGTGTCGGGACATGGGCGGTGGGATATTCGATTCATGAGTGGGAGGATATCCGCGATATCCTGAGATATCTCAGGCATGCACAACAGCCCAGTGGTATGAGATATCGCGAGACATGGGATGAATTAAATGAGATATCCCGTGACATGGGGCAGTGGTAATTTCAAACATACGCTCTTAAGCCTCATGTCACGAGATACCTCCTCACTGCTCATGTCAGGATATCTCCCCACTGCCCCATGTCACAGGATATCTCACTCCACTGCCATTCTCAGGATATCTCATCCCTGCACATGTCTCTCAGCATGCCATACAGCTATGTCTCAGAATATCTCATCCCTGCCCATGTCTGTCTCGAGATATCTCACCTCGCTGCCCATGTCCTGAATCTCCATATCTCATACCATCCGCTGCCCATGTCTCAGGATATCTCACCCCACTGCAAATGTCCATTCATCTCGATATCTCATCCCGCTGCCCATGTCTCAGATATCTCATCCCTGTCAAATATCTCAGAAAATCTCATCCCACTGCTGCCCATGTCTCAGAATATCTCCTCCCTGCCACTCCCCATGTCTCAGGATATCTCATCCCACTGCCCATGTCTCAGATATCTCACCCCGATATATCTCATCCCACTGTGTCTCAGGAATATCTCAGTATCTCATCCCACTGCCCATGTCCCATGAGATATCTCATCCCAGCCCATGTCTCAGAATATGCCCATTAGATCTTATCCAAATGCCTATCTCGAATATCTCCCCACTGCCCATGTCTCAGGATATCTCACCCCCTGCTGCCCATGTCTCTATCTCACTCCTCCCATGTCATCCCTGCCCATGTCTCAGGATTTCTCATCCCGCTGCCCATGTCTCGATATCTCATCCCACCCCATCTCCTCCTCCCATGCCCATGTCTCATGTCTCCCCCGCTGCCCCATATCTCATATCTCATCCCTTGCCCATGTCTCGGAATATCTCATCCCATTGTCTCAGGATATCTCATCCCACTGCCCATGTCTCAGATATGTCTCATATCATCCCTGCCCATGTCTCAGAATATCTCATCCCAGATATCTCCCACCCATGTCTCAGAATATCTCACCCCCCCATGTCTCAGGATATCTGCCCATGTCTCGAATATCTCCTCCACTGCCCATGTCTCAGAATATCTCATCCCACTGCCCATGTCCCCTCATGCCCATGTCTCAGATATATCTCATCCCACTGCCCATGTCTCAGAATATCTCATCCCCTCACCCATGTCTCAGAATATCTATCTCCTCCCACTGCTCATGTCTCTCGGAATATCTCACCCCCCCGCTGCCTATGTCTTCGAATATCTCATACCACCACCCATGTCTCGGATATCTCCTCCCACTGCCCATGTCTCATATCTCATCCCACCAATGTCTCAGAATATCTCATCCCATTGCCCATGTCTCAGGATATCTCATCCCACTGCCCATGTCTCAGAATATCTCACCCCACTGCCCATGTCTCAGGATATCTCATCCCACTGCCCATGTCTCAGAATGATATCTCATCCCACTGCCCATCTCATGTCTCGATATCTCATCCCACTGTCCCATCTCATCCCTGCCCAATGTCTCAGATATCCATGTCTCACCTCCACCCCCGCCCATGTCTCGAATATCTCCTCCCACTGCCCATGTCTCAGAATATCTCACCCCCTGCCCATGTCTCGGAATATCTCATTCCACTGCCCATGTCTCAATATCTCATCCCACTGCCCATGTTTCAGAATATCCCACTGCCCATGTCTCATCATCCCATCCCACTGCCCATGTCTCAATATCTCATCCCACTGCCCATGTCTCCAGGATATCTCATCCCACTGTCTCAGATATATCTCCCATGTCTCGGGATATCTCATCCCGCTGCCCATGTCTCGGAATATCTCATCCCACTGCCCATGTCTCGGGATATCTCATCCCACTGCCCATGTCTCGGAATATCTCATCCCACTGCCCATGTCTCGGAATATCTCCTCCCACTGCCCATGTCTCGGAATATCTCACCCCGCCGCCCATGTCTCGGAACATCTCATCCCACTGCAAATGTCTCGGAATATCTCCTCCCACTGACCATGTTTCGGAATATCTCACCCCGCTGCCCATGTCTCGGAATATCTCATCCACTGCCCATGTCTCGGAATATCTCATCCCACTGCCCATGTCTCAGATATCTCATCCCACTGCAGTCATCCCGCTCCTGGAATATCTCATCCCACTGCCCCATGTCTCCCAGAATATCTCATCCCAATATCTCATCCCTGCCCATGTCTCATCCCCCTGAATATCTCATCCCACTGCCCATGTCTCGGAATATCTCATCCCACTGCCCATGTCTCGGGATATCTCACCCCACTGCCCATGTCTCGGAATATCTCATCCCACTGCCCATGTCTCGGGATATCTCCTCCCACTGCCCATGTCTCGGAATATCTCATCACTCTGGAATATCTCATCCACTGCCCAATATCTCACCCACTGCCCATGTCTCAGGATATCTCATCCCTCACCCCGCCCATGCCCATGTCTCATAATATCTCTCCTCACTGCCCATGTCTCGAATATCTCATCCCACTGCCCATGTCTCGGCATATCTCATCCCACTGCCCATGTCTCGGAATATCTCATCCCACTGCCCATGTCTCGGAATATCTCACCCCGCTGCCCATGTCTCAGTGCCCATGTCTCGAGATATCTCATCCCACTGCCCATGTCTCGGATATCTCATCCCCACTCCCATCCCAATTGCCCATGTCTCAGAATATCTCATCCCACTGCCCATGTCTCGAATATCTCCTCCATGTTTTGCCCCCCATGTCTGTCTCAGAATATCTCATCCCCACTGCCCATGTCTCGAGATATCTCATCCCACTGCCCATGTCAGAATATCCCATCTCCCATGTCCCGATATCTCATCCCACTGCCCATGTCTCAGAATATCTCCTCCCACTGCTCATGTCTCCAGGATATCTCATCCCACTGCCATGTCTCGGAATATATCACCCCACTGCCCATGTCTCAGATATCTCACCCATGCCCATGTCTCGAATATCTCATCCCACTGCCCATGTCTCAGGATATCTCCTCCACTGCCCATGTCTCAGAATATCTCATCCCACTCATTCCCAATGTCTCGGAATATCTCATCCCACTGCCCATGTCTCCCATGTCTCATGATATCTCATCCCACTGCCCATGTCTCATCCCCTGAATATCTCATCCCACTGCCCATGTCTCAGGATATCTCATCCCACTGCCCATGTCTCGAATATCTCACCCCATGCCCCCATGTCTCAAATGGATATCTCATCCCACTGCCCATGTCTCGAGATATCTCATCCCACTGCTCCTCATGTCTCGAATATCTCATCCCACTGCCCAAGTCTCAGGATATCTCACCCCCTTTGCCCATGTCTCAGAATATCTCACCCCACTGCCCATGTCTCAGTCTCGGGAATATCTCATCCCATCGCCCATGTCTCGAATATCTCACCCTGCTGCCCCATCTCAGGAATATCTCATCCCCACTGCCCATGTCTCGAGATCTCACCCAGCTCCCATCCCACTGCCCATGTCTCAGGATATCTCATCCCACTGCCCATGTCTCAGATGCCATGTCTCATCCCACCCCATGTCTCAGGATATCTCATCCCACTGCCCATGTCTCAGAATATCTCATCCCACTGTCTCCAGGTTTCCCCCTGTCTCCGGAATATCTCATCCCACTGCCCATGTCTCAGAATATCTCATCCCTGCCCATGTCTCGTATCTCATCCCATATCTCGAATATCTCCCCTGCGCCCATGTCTCGGAATATCTCATCCCACTGCCCATGTCTCGGAATATCTCACCCCACTGCCCATGTCTCGGAATATCTCATCCCACTGCCCATGTCTCGGAATATCTCATCCCGCTGCCCATGTCTCGGAATATCTCATCCCACTGCCCATGTCTCGAATATCTCATCCCTCATCCCACTGCCCCATGTCTCAGAATATCTCATCCCACTGCATGTCTTGGGATATCTCATGTCCATGTCTCAGGATATCTCATGTCCCTCCTTCCATGTCTCAAGAATATCTCATCCCACTGCCCATGTCTCGGAATATCCCACTCATCCCACTGCCCATGTCTCGAATATCTCATGTCAGCTGCCCCATGTCTCAGGATATCTCATCCCACTGCCCATGTCTCGAATATCTCATCCCGCTGCCCATGTCTGCCTCATGTCTCATCCCAATATCTCATCCCACTGCCCATGTCTCAGAATATCTCCTCCCACTGTCCATGTCTCTGAATATCTCATCCCTATCCCCCATGTCTCGGAATATCTCATCCCACTGCCCATGTCTCAGGATATCTCATCCCACTGCCCATGTCTCAGAATATCTCATCCCTCTGCCCATGTCTCGAATATCTCATCCCACTGCCCATGTCTCCAGAATATCTCATCCCGCTGCCCATGTCTCAGAATATCTCATCCCACTGCAAATGTCTCGGGATATCCCATGTGCCCATGTCTCAGAATATCTCACCCCCAGAATATCTGCCCATGTCTCCCTGAATATCTCATCCCACTGCCCATGTCTCAATATCTCATCCCTGCCCATGCCCATGTCTCAGAATATCTCATCCCCACTGCACATGTCTCGGGATATCTCATCCCACTGCCCATGTCTCGGGATATATCACCCAGCTGCCCATGTCTCGGAATATCTCATCCCACTGCCCATGTCTCGGAATATCTCATCCCACTGCCCATGTCTCGGAATATCTCATCCCACTGCCCATGTCTCGGAATATCTCATCCCACTGCCCATGTCTCGGGATATCTCACCCCACTGCCCATGTCTCGGGATATCTCATCCCACTGCCCATGTCTCGGAATATCTCACCCAGCTGCCCATGTCTCGGGATATCTCATCCCACTGCCCATGTCTCTGAATATCTCATTCCACCCCATGTCTCAGCATCCCTGCCCATGTCTCAGGATATTTCATCCCACTGTCTCTGGAATATCTCATTATGTCTCGAGATATCTCATCCCACTGCCCATGTCTCAGGATATCTCTCCCCCTGCCTCATGTCTCGGATATCTCCACTGCCCATGTCTCAGGATATCCCCCTGCCCATGTCTCTGAATATCTGTCTCATGTCTCGGAATATCTCATCCCACTGCCCCATGTCTCCACTGAATATCTCATCCCACTGCCCATGTCTCAGGAATATCTCAATGTCTCAGAATATCTCCTCCCCACTGCCCATGTCTCAGAATATCTCACCCCCTGCCCATGTCTCATAAATATCTCATCCCACTGCCCATGTCTCGGAATATCTCCCCCCCACTGTCCATGTCTCATCCCAATATCTCATCCCCCTGCCCATGTCTCTGAAATATCTCCTCCCACTGCCCATGTCTCGAATATCTCATCCCACTGCCCATGTCTCATCCTAATATATCTCATCCCACTGCCCATGTCTCAGATATCTCATCCCACTGCCCATGTCTCAGAATATCTCATATCCCATGTCTGAATATATCACCCCATGTCTCAGCTCATCCCGCTGCCCATGTCTCGATATCTCATCCCACCCATGTCTCAGATATCTCATCCCACTGCCCATGTCTCGAGGATATCCCCACTCCTCCTCCTCCCCACTGTCCATGTCTCGGAATATCTCCTCCCACTGCCCATGTCTCGGAATATCTCATCTTGTTCTTTCTTTTTTAATACTGCTCAATTATGGCTCGCTTTATTTCAACAGTCTGAGTCTGTAGTACCCGAACCAAGGATTGAACTCATAATTACGACAGATCAAATTTACGAACCAACACTTTAAACCTCTGCAACTAGAACAGCGGGCATTGAATATTATTGTTCTTGTTGTTTGACTGCAAATAATAAGAATAACGATAACTCCTCATCACAGACATTCGTATCAGGTAATAGGGATGACAGCCCATTCGAACTGGTCCAGATCCAAGGCCTTCTCTCTTGGTGGACCATGACTTCAAGAGCAGTAGTCGCCCTCACCAAGCTATGATGAAGCTATTAATCGGAAGTTTTGAAGAGCTGCCCTTCTTCTAGACCAGAACAAATCCAGATCCAGGACCGCCTCATTCCTTGGAGATTCCTCCTCCTTGACTGACCATCTCTTTAAGTATGGTAGCCGTACTCACCGCGCTATGATTAAGCTATTTAATCCATAGTTGGAGGATTTGAATTCAGAGTTGTCCTTCTCATATAGTTATAGTTATAGCACCTAGCCTACTATTTACCCGAGCTGGGGCTGAGAAGAGATGGACGCATATCTTTCCCAAGGTTATTTGCACGGAAGTGATTGTAAAGAACGTGACTGGAATTCGAACTCTGTTCTCCGATTCCAATTAATCACTCCACCATGCCTTCTAGAAAACTCCGAGAAATAATTTTTTAACTTCGATTAAATAATCGTAATTTTTTAACTTCGATTAAATAATCGTAAATTAAAAAAATAATTAAGATATATTAATAAAATGAATAATAATAAATAATTAATTTTTTTCCGGGTTAGTTTGAATTGTTTTCACTAAAACTAATTTTTGTTTCTTCCATTTTTTTCAGTTTTGAGAAAAGTATCTTTTATATTAGAAATGATTTAATTGGCACTAAAATGGATGATCGATTTACAATGTAAGAATTCGGATTAGCAAATATTTACATTGTAAATCAAGTATCGCAAACGATTCAGTTTTTACAATGTTCCAGTTAAATGGGTTCCAACCATTTCAAAAAGAAAAAAAAAATCCGAGAAACAATTGCAATCCATTATGTCATCAGCATTTCCTTGCAGGAAAACAGCTAATATTACCATTATTATAACTATAAAAGCTTTGTTATTTTCTCCATTTCAGCTTTTGCCAGTTTGAGGAAATTGAAAAAAACAAAAAAAACAAAAAAAACATCACATTTTCGGTGTGTTCGCTTCCTTCAGCAAACTGACATTAATGGATTAAGGGGTTTTCGAGATTTATATTAAATTATAGCAGCACAATTGCTGAAATTCCCATCATCCAAAGCTAGTGAGTTTAATATCTGTCTATATTTATGAGATGAGGTATTATATGTACATTATTTACATTTAACTATTGTCCCCATCTTTGTCTATATTTATTAGAACGTTTCGAGTATCTGTCTATATTTCTGAGATGAGGTATTATTCGGATTATTCGGACCATTGTCCTTGTCTTGTCGCCATATTTTATTACAACGTTTCGGCCTTTCAGTATCTGTCTATATTTCTGAGATGAGGTATTATGTACACTATTTACACTATTCGGACTATTGTCCTCATCTTTGTCGCCATATTTATTACAACGTTTCGGCCTTTCAGTATCTGTCTATATTTCTGAGATGAGGTATTATGTACAACGTTTCGGCCGTTGTACGCTCCGGCCTTCTTCAGGTGGTTGGAATGTCGAACTGAACCCTTTATTTCGCTCACTGGGGTAGACTGTTCTAGTTCCACGTGCTGTTTAATGGATGTCAGTTATCTCCTATTAATTCCCCTCTCCAAGTTCTCCATTGCCTTAACCGGGTATTGAACTCACACTCTTTGGGTCCTGTCACTGGATCTAACCAAAGCCTTTATCCACTGTGCATTAGTGACTTTAAACTTTTATGGAGACTTATCAACCATTGGATGTTAAGTGGTCAGGCTTAAAACAACGTATGATTTAAAATTTTTCAGTATCTCTAGGTATTATAGCATACATTGTAGGAACCCCTGCTAGTCTAATAGCTAAAGGGAGGTAATTATAAAATAAGTTAATAAATTGTCTCCCTTTACGAGTATTGAATTTTAATTTTTTTTTTACTTCTAGTTAAGTATAAAATAGGCGGATTGCTATTATGGTTGTCTAGCAGTTCACTACTGAATAGTGAGTTCGATTCTCAACGAGCGCTCCATTGTTGTGGCCTTATGTCAAACTAGACTAAAATTCATAAATAGCAACCAAGGCGTAATTCTTAGCGAGTTTGCCTGGTTGAATATTTCTAAAGAGTAATGACTACGATTCTCATTGGGTAAAATAAGCAAAGATTAGTCAATAATAATTAATCACAATACAGGTGTGGCCTTGTGCCATACTAGGATTACTTCCCATTCGTGAGTAGACTAATAAAACTTTATTTAACTTATTCAATTTACGCACCACGTCACAAGTAGAGGACACTCAGTGAGGATTAAAATCATGAATCATGTAGGGTCAGTTTCCACGCATCTTTGAATTTGTGCTTATCCCCCCCCGTTTTTACCCAGTTTCTAGGGGCTTACGGTCGTATCACTTTGAAACAACGGTTCCTGTATGATTAACGAAGTTAAGCAACGTCGAGTCTGGTCAGGATGAGTGACCTTTTGCGAATACCAGGTGCTGTAAGCTTGAATGTGCCAGTGGGGTAATGGACAACGGCTCGGATTTGGAAACCAGAGAACCGAGTTCCAATTCCAGTCGGGTTCACTTCGGCATAAATGAACACTGGGGAAAGGTATGAATCAATCTGTCCGCCGCCTCCAGCTATGGATTAATTAGTATTATTTTTTATCATTATTATCTAGAAAAAAATCTTACAATCCCAAAACATATTTTCTGGCTTTAAATAACCTGCAAAGTGTTGATAAGCCGTAAAAAACAAATAATTCACACTCACTCCCGGTTTCTAATACGTCCCAACTTGCAAGACCAGTAAATCATTATTATTTTCAAATAAATCTTACAAATCCAAAACATATTTTCTGGCTTTAAATAACCTGCAAAGGGTTGATAAGCCGTAAAAAAAATTCACACTGCTTCCCGGTTTTTAGTACATCACAAATTGCAAGACCAGCTTGGTCAGTCCATTTTTTTAAAAAACATTTTATTCCAAGTAAGGCGATGAAGCCACTAAGACGCGCAGTGTTACTGAGCGTAAAGAAAATTAGAAAACATTATTGAGTTGAAAGGACAACAAAAAGGATAGAATTAAAAAAAATGGAAGATTATAATTAACAACAAGAAACCGAAAGAGAATTTCACTTGTTAAAGGTGTAGAAGAAGAAACTTCTAGAATAGAACTTACGGTGTCATATGACAAATTCAACAGCAAAATGATGAAATGTACCTGCAAATCCATTTGAAGTATTTACTGATTTCAAAATATTTTAAGGTTTGAAAACAGGAAATATAATAGAACTGTGTCTATTTACAATGTTCGGACTGTTATCCTCATCTTTGTTACCATATTCACGACGTTTCGGCCGTTGTACGCCCCGGCCTTCTTCATTGGACTGATTAGAATTTCGAATCGAGCGTTTTATTTCGTCCAGCTGGGTAGATTGTTCTAGTTCCATGTGCGATGCCTCTTCTGGATGTCTCAATATCACTTATCTCCCTTTAACTCAACCCTCCGAGTTTTTTTTTTTGTTCACCTCTGCTGTAGCCAGGTATTGATTTCACAGCTCTTTGGGTCAAGTCACTGGATTATTTAAACCTGCATCTCTTGAGTAGCGTGGACTTAGACCAGAACTTTTCTTCTTTGCAGTGATCAGTAACAGCTGTTTGTTGAAAACATCATAAAATGTCTCATTTATTATTTTAAGGCCTCAATATGTTTTTTTTTTAAATTATTTTACCCCATTCAAGGCGATAAAGCCACTAAGATTCAAGGGATGAGAGTAACGGAAAGACATGTTACTAGGAAACAAGCTTCAGGCTCTCGTACTATGGCTGTTTAAATGCATTCATTCAGCAATCAGATTTTCGAACAACTTAAAAGCAAGCAGGCACAGCCTTACAAAATAAAAAAAAAAACAGTTGCGGGGGTCAAATCAGATGTTAACAGTGGGTGGTGGGGGCTAAGTAAGATGATAAGTTTTAAACACTTCTTCTTTTATGTGCTGTGCCACTTCAGGACGTAGGCGATAATAGCCCTCCACATCTTCCTTTCAGCTCTTAATAAGTTTTGTCATTTTGTTCTTTCTACCAAACCCTCTTCTACCATTCATTTACTCAAGCCCATCAAATATGTTACGCGCTGTTTTCCTCTGTCCATCTTTCCCTCAATATGACCTGTGGGTATCAGATTTTCCAAGCCCACCTTTCTCATTATGTACTCCATAAATT